ATATATATATTCTAAATAATTTATTAAGCGAATCGTTGAATATTTTGAGACTTGTAGAATGAAATGAATCATTGAGGGTTTTAAATGTTGCAGGGTGGAAAATGAAATGATTTTAAACGAATAATATCTTGTTGCCCGACACTACACCTTCCAGCTGAAATCAACTTGTATCTGATGAGATTGGGCTGATCCAAAGTTTTTTCTTTGCAGCGAGTATTACCGGAACTTGTTGCAACAGTTCGCGAGCCACTGTCAGACGCCTAACGGGGACATCACCGATCCGGACTGGGTTGACTACCTGCCCAAGGAGCAGAACGCCGAGCAGTCCTCGCAGAAGGACAATCGAAGGCCGCGGAGACCCGCGCAGTTTATACCAGGCGTGCCGCATATACAGGCCTCCAAGATATTCGAGATCGGGTGTGTCGCGGGCACGGAGAACAAGTGTCTCGAGCTGGTTTCCGCGGAATGGCACAACACGAGGGTGACGCTGAAGCGACACATCTTACCAACGTGTCGCGACGCGATACGGGCGGACGTGGAGATCCTTAGGTAGGAGCCGCTCTGTCTCCGCCCGTTTCCACCAATGCAGATTAACTTTAATCTCTACTCGACTTACTTTTCATCTAATTTTTATCTATCTTTTCTTTTCTAATTCTTAGAACTAGAAAAGGATGAAAAGTGAGTTGAAGCGAGATTCAAGTTAATCCACATTGGTAGAAACGGTCATAAGTAACGTAAAGAAAGAAAACACGTTCTTAAGATAATAAAATAAAAATGTACAAAGGAGTCACTGGGCTAAGAGTCAACATTCGTTTTTCACTGGTCATTATACCCATATAGCACGCACGTCTAAAAAACATTTTTAAGACATCTTTAAGTCGTCTTTCAGACATACATATCTAAAAGACCACTTAAAGATGTCTTAAAGATGTCTTTTAGACATGCGTGCTGTATGGGTATTAAAATGAATATTACTTGTAATTTTGGAAAATGGTATAATCAAAGTATCCTGTCTGCTTTATATAAACATGATTGCAATCTTGGCAATTTCAGTGAAATTCGGCATCCCAACGTACTGCTGCTGATGGCCACGGCGTATACGCGCGAATACGGCCTCGTCTCCGTCTTCGAGTCAATCGACTGCTCGTTGTACAATTACATGCACGAGCAGGACGAGCGAATAAGCGTGCAAGGAGTCATGCGGATCGGCATGAAATTGGCGGACGTATTGAAATACTGTCACATGCGTGGATACATTCACACAGCGGTTAGCTCGCACTGCGTTTACTTTGCATCCGATGCGACTGTCAAACTTGGCGGATGGGAGCTGGCCAGAGAAATTGACAAAGTATGTGGAATTTAAATTTTCTCTACGCCCCACTGTGTTCTCTAAAATGCTGCGATGCAGTTTTACCTTACCATATACCACGTGTAAATGTAACATTTGTCAAGTGTCAATTGTTTCGAAGTAAAGATATCTTTTTATAAATAATCCAATTAATTTGCGAACATAAAATTTATATAAATTTTTACAAGTAGAACGTTTTATA